ATAAAATACAGATAACAATAAAAAATGATAAAATGTATATTGCAGTAATTTATGAAAAGTGCAATAGAATATTTTGTGTTTTTTAAAAATGTAATACTTCAGTCCATTATTACAATGATATTAAATCAATCATAAGCTAAAAGTACCTGATAACTTCCTAATCATTATCAGAATCAGCTTTATCTACCAGCCATTTTAACACTAGAAAGACTCAAATTCACAGTAACTTTGTGTTTTATCATTCAAGATGATTTACAGACATACAGGTAAACACAGATAACAAGATTAATAACAAATATAACCAAACAAGTTATCGTTAAGCAGGTCACATTGCTACTAAAACCACACAGTGCAAAAAGGGCATATCACAGTAGTAATAAATAATGTATAAATAAGTTAATTACAGAATAAAGTATGATCACTCAGTATGTGAAGTTATAGAGAGTTTAGAGGGGTCAGCTGGGTTCGGATGGCCACCTGTGTGGCTGGCTCAGCGAGTTCCCTTTCTTTTGTTTTTCTGGCCAATATTTCCAACCTCTTTTTTTCTACATTATTCTCTGTTCTTTGTTGGACTTGTATTGAAGTTAATAAAGTCTGTAGGTTTCATTCCGTCATTTCCGTCTTGTGTTTGCGCCCTTCAATATGTTTTGGGTCTCTAATAGAGCCTTGTTAATTTGTGTATTCTTGAGCCGTAACAATGTGCATATATTGAGAGTATGTTACAGTATATACAGTCTGTTTAAACCTGGCAGGCAGCAACACACAAATATCATAACATATTATCTGTTCAGTATATGACGATGATCTGGACTGAAGTGTCCGTGTGGGGAAAGAAGTGCTCTTGTGCCTGGTTTTTTGCGTATATATTGCTTACTCCCTCATACCTACGCATCTCTCAGGCTACCAGTTTACAACCTGTTTCAAAATGTTGCTTCCCAGTTATGGAACAAGGTCAATGAAACAAGATCCCATCAGCCCTACATATCCTTACACTGGTTAATTCCAGGATAAACTTTGTTGTTCATGAATTTTCTCTGACCAGATCCTCAGTCCTCCCAGATAAAACATAACACTGAAACTAAAACTTGAAAATTCAGATAATCTCATGGCATCGACAGCAAATGACTGTGCTTCCTGTTGTAACTGAAGTTTGCTGTCACGATGGGGGAATTCTTCCGTACCTAGTAAACAACAAAACAGGGTAGGGAGGGTTTCAATTACTAATTACCTCTATAAAAAAGATCACAATATTTATATATGGGTGCATATATTAACATATAACAGAATAATGTAACCCTACAAAAGAAAGAAAGAAAATGGGAAACAAGATTTTTAGCATCACAGCAAAATGTGTCTGTGCTCAGTGTATCTCTAAAGAAAAATGCCAGAACAGACAGTATCCTCTAGGACAAAACTTGGCACTTTGCTGTTATGTTGGTCCTCCTTTTCAGCTTTAAATATAATGGTGGAAATTCCACTAGTGTTGCAGTATGACTGATGCTGATGGTCCATTCTAGACCAGAGTGCTGTTGTGAGACTCGTTAAAAAACAAAAAAAAAAAAAAAAAAAACAAAAAAAAAAAAAAAAAAAAAAAAAACAACGTGTTAAACACTGTGGGTGAAGTCCCTGATAGACTACGTCTGGTTATATACCCAGTTTTATCTTCACACATTCCAGTTACAGTTGATGTCTATAAAGAACAACACATTCTTACCTGGACTATGATTCACCTGTTTTTGTACCTGTAGAAAAAGGACAGTTGGTTAAGCAGCTTTTTATACCATACACAAAAGAAGGAAACACTTATTAGTTACAGTTAAAGTCAAATTAAAAAAGGATGAAGCGGGACAATACCTGCTCGTATTTTCAAACACACACCCTCGTATTATCTCTCTCTT